ATATGTCTTATCAGGAGATAAGAGGGGGCACTGTAAGAAGGGGAGGATCAGAATCAAACAGCCTTATTACACAATGCAGAAAATTAACCCCTTAGGTTCCACAGTGAGTATAACAAGCATGTTTTACTGCATATACAGACTGATTTTACTGTTGTGGTTTAGGTGGCTACAACATTTGAAGTATACATTGTAACCCAATTTATTTATCAGTTTTAGCTCATTAATATGTTGGTAGTACATTTGTATAAGCTTTAAAGCAGAACTACACTGCATCTGAGCATCACAAACCAAAAATGCTATTAGCAATTAGAGCAGTCTTGTGACTTTTATATACATACACACACTGCTCAAAAAAATGAAAGGGACACTTTTTATTCAGAGTATAGCATCAAGTCAGTTAAACTCCTGGGATATTGATCTGGTCAGCTAAGTAACAGAGTGGGTTGTTAATCAGTTTCAGCTGCACTAGATGGACAGCAATGAGATGACCCCCTAAACAGGAATGGTTTTATAGGTGGAGGCTACTAACATTTTGCCTTACTCATCTTTTCTGACTGTTTTTGTTAGTTTTGCATTTGGTCTAGGGTCAGTGTTACTACTGGTAGCATGAGGCGATACCTGGACCCTACAGAGGTTGCACAGGCAGTCCAACTCCTCCAGGATGGCACATCAATATGTGCCATTGCCAGAAGGTTTGCTGTGTCTCCCAGCACAGTCTCAAGAGCATGGAGGAGATTCCAGGAGACAGGCAGTTACTCTAGTAGAGCTGGACAGGGCGTAGAAGGTCCCTAACCCATCAGCAGGACCGATATCTGCTTTTTTGTTCAAGGAGGAACAGGATGAGCACTGCCAGAGCCCTAAAAAATGACCTCCAGCAGGCCACTGATGTGAATGTCTCTGACCAAACAATCAGAAACAGACTTCATGAGGGTGGCCTGAGGGCCTGACGTCCACTAGTGGGCCCTGTGCTCACTACCCAGCACCATAGAGCTCGATTGGCATTTGCCATTGAACATCAGAATTGGCAGGTCCACCACTGACACCCTGTGCTTTTCACAGATGAGAGCAGGTTCACCCTGGGCACATGTAATAGATGTGAAAGGGTCTGGTAGAAGCCGTGGAGAATGTTATGCTGCCTGTAATATCGTTCAGCATGACCGTTTTGTTGGTGGGTCAGTGATGGTCTGGGGAGGCATATCCATGGAGGGACACACAGACCTCTACAGGCTAGACTGCCATTAGGTATCGGGATGAAATTCTTGGACCTATTGTCACACCTTACGCTGGTGCAGTGGATCCTGGGTTTTTCCCTGGTTCATGACAATGCCCGGCCTCACGTGGTAAGAATATGCAGGCAGTTCCTGGAGGATGAAGGAGTTGATGGGATGGCCCCCCATGCTCACCTGACTTAAATCCAATAGAACACATCTGGGAGGAAATACCCCAGGACACCATCTGTTGTCTCATTAGGAGCATGCCCCGACGTTGTCAGGCATTCATACAAGCACATGGGGGCCATACAAACTACTGAGTACTATTTTGAGTTGCTGCAATGACGTTTCAGCAAAATGGACTAGCCTTCTGCATCATTTTTTCACTTTGATTTTCGGGGGGGCCTTTTGAATTCAGTACTTTGTAGGTTGATCATTTTTCATTTCCATCAAATGATGAGGCATCCTTATGTTCCTAACACATTACACAGTCCATATCAGTATAGATATCCAGCATTATATTTTTCCCCATTGAGATCTGATGTGTTTGGGGGGTTTTAAGTAATTTTCTACCAAATAATACTGCTTTTTACATGTAAACAGGTTAAAAAAACAGACCTGGTCTTGAAGTGATTGCTATACCAGCCTTTTTCAACTAGGGTGCCTTGAGGTTTCTTCAGGGGTGCCTTGGCAAAATGCCTAAAAATTACCCAAAAATTGTTTACAAGACAGCGGGTGGATCAATCCTGCCTTTTAACTACACAAAGCCGTAGGGTTTCATTGTGCACCATTACGGCCATCTAGACGCCGGCATCCCAAAAAACAATGATATCATCAGTTGATAAGGAGAACAGTGGATGCCTACATAGCATCCTTGTTTACCCCTCTCCTGCCTCTCTCCATCAGCCCTGGGGTCACATTAGCTCAGTGATGGAAAAAACTTAGAAAGAAGAGAAACACTGGAATACTAGGCAGTACCAGTGGGCAAAAGTGTACTTGATTTGGTAGAATAAATCACCTTAAACGTTGGGGTATCCTACGTGTGTATGGATGTTGATGCATTGTGTAAAACTATTAGAATCGCTTTTTACACATTAAAATGGGGTGCCTCAAGGCTGTCCATAATTTTAGAGGGTGCCTTGACTGAAAAAAGTTTGAATATCACTGTACTATACCACCTTTTGTTTTATTTACACCCGCTTTGTGTACAGTCTGATTGTACAATCTCCTTTAGATCTACCATCAGTTCTGTAGCGCAAGGGCCTGTCTGATTTGATACAAATTGAATAGATTGTTCAGGTGGGTCCCTCCTATTCCATAGTTTTGGTAAATGAAAAGAAAATTTTGCAGAGATTGTACAATCAGATTTCATAGTGTATGGTCAGGGTTTACAAGTACAGAGGAAGATGGAGTGGAGAGAGACTCTCAGCTGTCAGGCCCTGTTCACACCTCCGCATAGCAGGAACTCTCGTTCCTACATGCAGTTTTTTTTTTTTTTTTTTTTTTTTTTTTAATGGGGCGTTTTTGGACCATTTTCACCTGTCACACATAGGGCAACCAAATCACTTGAATGGGCTGCCCTATATTGCCCCAAAGAAGTGGCAGAACTCTTTTGTGAGCAGTGTGGTGCATTTTTTTACTGTGTTTTTTTTTGGTGCATTTCCTGAGCATGTGTTGCACGGCAGATGCACAACTTCTAAACACGCTTGGAACGCCATTAACATTTAACAGAAGTGCAATTGCAATGTGCATTTGAAAAACATGCAGCAAAGAGTTCATTTTCTCTGCCGTTTCCTGTGAATTGTGAGTGGAGCCTCATCATTCTTGTAAAAATGCACCAATTTCACTTTCAGGCCCCATTTACACTTGGCGTAGTGAGAGCTCTTGTTTTTGGCTCATTTTTCCCCACAACACGCACATGGTAATCCATTGATTTCAGTAGCTCATGGGACATTTTGGCGTGTTGCGATTTGCACGTTTTTAACTGGGCATTTTGCTGCATTGGTTTTTTTACATGGCAAAATGTGTGTTTGCTTCTTCATTTGGGGTGCCATTAACAATTAATTGCCAAAAGTGGAACTAGTTAATTTTAGGTGTATAAAGGTGGCCATACACTACACAATCTGATTGAACAATCTCTGTATGATCTCCTTTTTAGATTTACCAAAACAATATAATAGGAGGACACACCACGTATCCAATCAGGCAGGCCCTTGCACTACCTAGGTGATAGTAGATCTAAAGGAGATACAATCAAATTGTATAGTGTATGGTGAGTTTTACAGCCTTCCAGGGGCACACGTCCCCTGTTTTCAGTACTACAGCTCTTCTCTGCACAGGCTTTTATCTCATCACTCCACTCCGGCACACTCTGCCAGATGAACAATCTACGCAAGATGAAGTTAAGGTAGAAATGCATGCACCTGCGGAGGTGAGTGGGAGCGATCTTTTGGAAGGGGGCGGGTACAGGGTGTGCTAATGAGGTCAGCTGGTGAACTCCTTCCTATGTCTTAATGGTTTTCCCCACCTAAGGCTAGGTTCACACCTATGCAGGTTGCGTTTGACTCGTTGCTGCATTGCGTTTTACGTTTGTGCCGCATTTTTGATGCGTTTTGCAGTGTTTGTTTTTTTTGGGGGTTTTTTTTTTTTGTAGCTAGGTAGATTTAAGCTACAAAACACATAAAAAATGCACTACATGCTTTTCTGCAGCATTTCTTTTGAAGTCCATAGAACCAAAAACGCGTTAAAAAAAAGTCTCTGACCCTTTCCAAAACACGCATCGGGTAAAAACGCGGAGATGTGAACGTGTCCCATAGGAAATCATGTTATATGGACTGTAGTGCGTTTGCAAAATGCTGCAGAAAACGCTTAGGCGTGAACCTAGAGTAAGGGATGTCCAGGAAGCAATGGAAAATTTTTTTTTTTACAACAAACTGGATACTGAGGTAAGGCCTGGTCTTGGACAAATGGCAAGCTTTTTCTTTTCTGCAAAACAAGTGCAAAAATGGTTTATTGGTACAAGGAAGCTGGAATTGAGAAAAAAGGTGAACTTAGCCTTTAAAGGTGTAGAAGCTGGGCTTCCTGCATTGTATGTTAATGAGGACAGACTCGGGACAGATTCACTTTTAACTGTTCAAAAAAAAAAAAAACAAATGCAGTCGGCCATGACACCTCCTCCTGAAAAAAGATAAGAAATCTCTTATGTGGAATATCATTATTTATTTATTTCAGGTACTTATATAGCGTTGTCAATTTACGCAGCGCTTTACATATATATTGTACATTCACATCAGTCCCTAACCATCAAGGGGTTTACAATCTAAGGTCCCTAACTCACATTCATACATACACACACTAGGGCCAATTTAGACAGGAGCCAATTAACCTACCAGCATGTCTTTGGAGTGTGGAAGGAAACCGGAGTACCTGGAGGAAACCTACGCAGGCACAGGGAGAACATGCAAACTCCAGGCAGGAGGTGTCGTGGCTGGGATTAGAACCAATGCCCCTAGTACTGCCAGGCGGAAGTGCTAACCATTTAGCCACTGTGCTGCCATTATGACATATACAAGAGATACAGGAACTCAAACTCCGACCGTTGTGTATTGAAGGATGATGCTAACGTCTCTGAGCTTTGATCTACTAACAGAGGCAATTCTTCTTCTCAGAATTATAACCTGTAGGCTGTGTTGATTTGGATGGTTTTTATAATTTGTTGCGCAGTGATGTGTATAGTGTATCTATGGCACCCTGTACTCATGTTACAGTAGTATTTTGCCTTTTTTGTAGTGAATTTCAGCTACCCTTCTCTGGAGGAGCCTCCACCACTGCCAGTTCCTGCGCCGTCCATACCAGTTAAACCCAGTCCACCACCCTCCATCCAAGCTGAGCCTGCTCCTGTACAAGAACCTCAAGCTGCCCAGCTACCTGATGCCAGTAAAGGAGAAAAGATAAAAACTGTTAAATTAGAGAAAATTGAAGAACCTGTTGCTGTAACACAGAAGCTGGAGCCTGCTCCCCAAGTCCATCCTTCAGATCCTGCAAAGCCTATACCACATGTAAGCATGTCTGAATATATAGCATGTGAACACGTTCTCTTACAATGTATCAATTTTTTAGCAGTTAAATCTTTTACTAAAAAAAATGTTACAGCTGTATACTGTAAATTTGAGGTATTCTTTTCTGTTTTCCAGTTTTGTAAATCAGGCCTTAGGAGTTTTACTTTTCTTTTTCCATGACAAGTTGTCGCCTTCTTAAAGGGAAGGGAGTGGGTCCATAAAATAGTGCGATTCAGATCATCAGCATGAATGGGCTGCCCTAAAGTATGACATTCTTTTTATACAATGTTCATACCAACTCAGAAAACTTTTATATTTGGGCTCCATGCACACAAGTGTTTTTTTTTTCTATAAGCTGATCAAATGAAAAAGAATAGTGTGCGTGGACACATAGGATAACACTATTTAGCTTCTAGGAGCAGAAAAAAATGCTGATAACAGCTTCTAGGAGCTTAAAAAAAAACCCTAGTGTGCCTTAAAGTGTATCAAAACTCAGGTACCGCGTTTTTTAGGCCTGGTTCACATATGTGTGGGTGGTGCCGCTGCGGGACCCCCACAAATACCTGCAGCCGCACCACCCACACAAGAATGCGGGACCCATTAATTCTAATGGCACTCCGCTCGCACTGGAAATTGCAACCGTACTGGAAACCTCAGTTCCCGTGTAGGCTGCGATATCCTAAGTAGTGCAGGGACTTCCCCTGTGCGTGTCCCGGGGCACAGTAGTCCATTCAAATGAATGGGCTCTCGTGCCCGTGCAAATCACGGGCTGCACAGTTCTGAACCAGGACTGAAAGTGTAGCTGTGCTCTCAACCAGTCTGTTTCTGCTGTGAGTATTTAGCTGTTGGGACTGCCCACCCTGTGCTCTCAACCAATTTGCTGCAGTCAATGCTGTATTTAGCAGCTGAGAGTGGAACTAATAAAATGCTGCTTTCACACTGATCCGTTTTTTTAGCTTAAAAAAAAAAAAGCGGAAGAAAAATGTGTGACCATACAACCCTAGGGAACTCTTCACACTGATCCATTGCAGGGTCGCTGCGTTTCTTTAAAAATCATGCTTGCTGCATTTTTGGTGCAGGTTTGGTACGGTAAAAAAAAAAGTACTTAAAACGCACCTCCCCATTGAAATGGAAAATGTGGCAAACGCATAAAAAAACCACCCACGCTGCATTTTGGTGCAGTTCTTGATTCACATGTCCTGTAAAAAACACTCCGCAAATGCAGCAGAAACAGATGTGTTTTTTTCTATGGCTCAGTGTGAAAGAAGTCTAAATGCCACTATAACTACCACGTTTGCTGGACAGCTTGGTCTGAGAAAAATAACAGCTCTATCAGCTTGATAACAGGTAAAAAAAGAGGAGTAAGGGTGAGGCTCAGAAATACGTCATGTTAATGCTATTGACAGGCTGTAAATAAATAAGATAATGTTTTATCCTAATCATACAGTACAGAACACAGGCTGAGCATTCATAGACCTGTGTTATAGGCTGATACTTGATTGATTTTACAATGATTGATTTTACAATGGTAAAACCTTTGACGACATGCCCTCCGGATGCTCTCTTTATCACCCTATCCCATTTTGTCAGTCCTCAATTTTTGCTAGTGTCCTGAGCTGATGGACCTCTTCTCCCTTATGAAGAAACCACTCTACACTTAACTGGTTTTATTTTATCTTCGGATTCTTCAATCAACTTTTTTTTTTTTCCTAAAACCATAATGGAGGCAGTGCATCCGAATTGCCACAAGATCAGGAGTGAAACCCGGACCACAATGTCGGGATGGCCTGTAATGTTGCTTCAGGCACTTGATCCTGCTGGGCGCTCATCTTGGCACTTTGTGCAATGAATGTAGTTAGCCGCAGAGTGCTATACACTTCTAGGCTGTGCTCCATTCCTATGGAACGCAGACCCTGAAGTTGGGGGTAAGCCCACCATAATTTAAAGAAGCAGGTACTTTAAAAATGCCAAACCATATACAGTACCTCTTATTAAAAAGCAGTAGTCGTGCTCCAGTCAAGTGCCTTTACTTAGGCTAAAGGGAGCATGCCTTCAAGTCTGCTGTAGGCACAAAGAAGCTGTTCCTTAACATTTTAGCCAGTCGCAAGGTTAGAGGCATGAGCAGATCTGTGTAAAACATATGTACATATAGTCAGGGACTGCGATTTAGATGCTAAAGTAATCTATGGGATGGTAACTTAGCCCAAGTAGTAATTGTTAATTCTGGGTGATCTTGAACAAAGATGACATCAGCCTGTCTGAGAGAGAGAGGAACATGTAGGCATTGTCAGGGGAAGTATTGTGACATCTGGGAGAAGCAATAAATGCACAGTTAGGGCTCATCCGTGCCGACTGCACACTAAGGGCTCATTCACACTAGGCTGTTTTGCCAACGCTTGCCAAACGCCCCTATAGCGTTTGGCAAGCGTTGGTCCGGCGTTTGCGGAGCGTTTTTTAACGCTCGGCAAACGCCGCATGCGCGGTTTAGCGGCGGTTGCTAGGCGTTTGCTGAGCGTTAATAACGCCCCACAAACGCCTATAATGCAGTTTGAGTGGTGTTACCGCTCCGCAAACGCCCCGCAACCGCGCCGCACGCAAACGCCGGCCGGGCGTTTGCGGAGCGGCACCATAGACAAGAATAGGAGGCTTCAAAGCCTCCTGACTCGTCCAGAGGCGTCCGTTTTGCCGCGACGCGACGCAAACGCTCCCGTTAGAACAGCACCATGTGCTGTAATGTGCAGAATTGGCAGAGGCGTTTGGGAAGCGGTAAAAACGCTTCCCAAACGCCTCTCTGCCGCCTGCACACAACGCTAGTGTGAACGTAGCCTTAATGATCTGTTTTAGCATCCAGGCAGCTGTCAGTTTTGTCTGCGGTGAGGAGGTGAAGTGATGCACATTTTCAGCACAGTACACCGTTTACTACATTCATGTCTCCATACAGCAGTGCTGTCTGTTGTGGTGCTGTGTGGTGGCATGCACTGCCTACCTGTGCTTTGCGGTAAAATACTACAGGTCTACATTTTATTACCGCTCTCTGCACCTCACCTCCAGGCTGCATTGCAATGTGAATGGGTGTTTAGCATTTATTCAGTGCGCAAAAAAGCGTGAGTCACCATACTCGGTGAATGAGCCCCTACGCTTTCACATAACTTAATGTTCTAATCGTTTTTCTTCTGTGATGTAGATTGACCGCACAAAGAAACCTTCAGTGGTGGTTAGTGAAAACCCCCCAAAAATAAAGACTGAAGTCAAAGACAAAACGGCAATAAATGGTAAAGTTATCCCTGATCGTTCCACAAAGCCAGCATTGAACAATAAACCCCCCAAAGTAGACATGGATAAAAACACTCCAGAAAAGGAAAAGACAGAGAGGCCTGTGGATGACATCAGAGAGGTTGATGGACCAGAAGAAAAAGAAACAACTAAGAACAGTATTGGTGAGCCTGACCAGGAATCCCCTGAAAAGAAACCTGAACAGGAGAAAAAAAAGCAGATCGTGACTGAGAAAGAAAAGAAGGATATAAAAAGCACAGGGGAAGATCAAAATGTTTCTGATGAAAGAAAGAAAGAAGTGACCATATCACCCATTCTAAAGAAGGTGAGACACTCGGAGTTATTCATACTATGCACATAGACAACTGTCATCACTTTTAAGTAGGCTGTTCTTGATTTTATATAGAAGGTCCTAAACCCAGGGCACCCTGTATTCAAATATACACTTCCTCTCAACTTCGGTGTTCTGGCACTTTCCCTTACAAGCCTCTATGTTTAAAGCTGAAAGCTAGGCATTTGTTAAAAAGATAATTAATTTATGTGTGGTTAAAAAAAAAAAAAAAAAAACTGGCCCTCTTGCCCACAGGTACCAGAACCCTTGCATTGTAAATGCCCATACATTATACTCATGTTTAGTCAAGCATCATCATGTAGTACAGCTGTGCACAGGCATTCATGTCTAGAGATGGCTGTATGCCGTGCCTGGGCTTTCCAGGTAGAGGACATACACTAGAATTTACATTGCATGGTCTGAGATGCTTGTTTTACATTTTATTTTTTTTTTAACTAATACTTTGTTGAAGCTTGATTTTATGACCGCATTCAGTCTTTTTGGGTAGCAGTCGATCAGCATGGCACATCTTGCCTTGGGAATTTTTGCTCACTCTTCCTTGCAAAAAATGTTCAAAATCTGTCAGATTGCAAGGGCATCTCCTCTACACAGCCCTCATCAGGTCACCCTACGGATTCTCAGTTGGATTCAGGTCTGGGCTGTGGCTGGACCATTCCAAAACTTTGATTTTCTTTTGGTGAAGCCATTGTTTTATTGATTTCGAAGTATGCTTTGGGTCGTTGTGCTGAAAGGTGAAAAATCCTCTTCATCTTCAGCTTTTTAGTAGGCCTGAATGTTTTGTGCCTAAATTTACTGATATTTGGAACTGTTCATAAGTCCCTCCACCTTGACTAAAACCCCAGTTCCAACTGAAGAAATAAAAGCCCCAAAGTATAATGTTGCCACCACCATGCTTCACTGTGGGTATGGTGCTTTTTTAATGTGCAGTGTTGGTTTTTTGCCAATCATACTTTTAGGAACTATAACTAAATAGTTCAATCATGGTCTTAGACATAACTCATTTTCCTTCATCATCTTGGCAGACTTGAATTAGGCTTTTACAAAATATAGCCGGGCTTGGATATTTTTCTTAGTAAGAAAAGACCTTCCGTCTTGCCACCCTGCCCTACAGCCCAGACATACATAGAATAGGGGGAGGTTGTTGTCACATGTAGTACACAACCAGTTCTTGCCAGAAATTCCTGCAGCTCCTTTAATTTATTTTATTTTTATTTATTTCAGGTACTTATATAGCGCTGTCAATTTACACAGTGCTTTACATATATATTGTACATTCACATCAGTCCCTAACCATCAAGGGGTGTACAATCTAAGGTCCCTAACTCACATTCATACATACACATACTAGGGACAATTTAGACAGGATCCAATTAACCTACCAGCATGTCTTTGGAGTGTGGGAGGAAACCGGAGTACCCGGAGGAAACCCACGAAGGCACAGGGAGAATATGCAAACTCCAGGCAGGTGGTGCCGTGGCTGGGATTCGAACCAACGACCCTAGTACTGCCAGGCGGAAGTGCTAACCATTTACCCACTGTGCTGCCCTCACACTGGGATTCGAACCAACGACTCTAGTACTGCCAGGCGGAAGTGCTAACCATTTAGCCACTGTGTTGTGCAATGTTGCTGTAGGCCTCTTGGCAACCTCCCAGACCAGTTTACTTCTTGTTTTTTCATCAATTTTGGAGTAAGGTCCAGTTCTTGGTAATGTTACTGTTGTGCCACATTTTCTTTACTTGTTGGTGTCTGACTTCACTGTGTTCTATGGTATATCTAATGCCTTGGAATTGTTTTTTTGTACCCTGACTGATACCTTCCAACAACAAGACTCCTTTGATGCTTTTTAAGTACCAGAATAAGTTCAAAGTTTTGGAATGGCCCAGACAGAGCCGGACTTGAATCCATTTTGATTTAGAGCACTTTTTCAAGGAAGAGTGGGCAAAAATTTCCAAGGCTAGATGTGCCATGCTAATAGCCTCCTACCCCAAACAACCAATTATCTCATAAAATCAAAAGGTGCTTCAAAAAGTATTATATGTCACCCTAAAGAGGTAGTAAACACCGCTTGGTCATTTATACCTACAGGTAAGTGTATAATAAAGCTTATCTGTAGGTACAATGAATATCTCCTAAACGTGCACTGTTTAGGAGATATACACATTTTCTTCAGCCAGTGACATCATCAGCACATGCACACTGCGCTCTGAATTGAGGTCACACTGAAGGTGCTGCAGCCATGACTCCCGTACGCATGTGCAGTAGTAAAGTTATCATGGCTCGGTCATTTAAACAGCTAGAGTCCTCAAATGTGGAAGGAAGATTGGGTGCAGGTGGAAGCCCTGGCAACAGTGATAGTTTCCGTTGGAGGGATCCCTTTTGCAGGTAAGTCTGTCATTAAATTGTAGGACCGTTTTTTTTTGTTTTGTTCTTATATGACGTGACTACTGCTTTAAAGGTGGAAAAGATTCAGAAGTGATATATCTCGGTCTAATTATTTCACATCTGAAAAACTTGTTATATATATATAAAAAATGTATTTATTATTATTTTTTTATTTGTGAAAACACACACCGTGGATATAAAATGTCTACTTTTAAAAAAAGAAATTAAGCCTTGTGATAATCTTTATACAATACATAGGAAATGTTTGTGAAATCCTTACGAGTAATCTCCAATCCCAAGGCTCACTTGTGAACATGCAGTATGTGTTATCCATGTAGCAGAAGTCATGCCGTATGAGGCATCCTATGTAAGAGGAATGAGACCTTTTTATTTAAATAAAGTTGCAATGTTTCAGGTTTTGGATATAAATCCAAGTTAATTAGAATTTTGGTTTGATCTGTATTATGTATAGAAGCAGATGCTTATTGCTTATTTCCTACTTGTACATTATGTTTTTGAATAACTTTGCAGCCCGAAGCAAAGAAAAACACTCCTGATGATAAAGCTAATGTCCTTAAAAAAGAAATAAATGAAGATGAAAAGCCTAAAGTGAGTATCATTTTTACAGATATGTTCTTTTTTTACATTATATTCACATCTATATAAAATAACTTGGTCACTTTAAAAGTTGCTAGCAGATACACTGTAATCACCTAGAGGGGCCTGCACATATCCGCAGCAGGCCTCTTCTCTCTCTGCTATGGCTAAGTGTTGGCTCTTTTGAGTTTGTAAAGCTCCAATTTCTTGATATAATTGGAACTTGCCAGTTCCCTTCTGTCATCTTCTTCACGTTCTTATTGGCTCATTACTATGATGAATTGCCTCCTTGGCCAGTCGAAATGTATGTGAGTAGGGAGGAGGTAGGCAAGCATTCAGAACTTCTGACATTCGGCCATAGCAGAAAGTCATTGTAGCTGCTGCCTGTATGTGCACTTCTAGGAGGGGCCTCTAGTGGAAGCTCCTCTTTTAACCGTTGAACTAATTTCCTGATGATAACCAAGCCAACAAGTGTCGCTTAAACTTACAAATGTTTTTGATTTAGAGGGAGCCTTTGATGCGAGCTCGAAGTGAAGAGATGGGTAGAACTGTACCTGGAATGCCAGAAGGTTGGGTCAAGGTAATACATGTGTGTTTATGTGCATGTATATAACATGTCTGTTATGTGACTTTTGTAGGTAGTTACTAATGCAAGCTTGTCATCCTTTACAGTTTCTTGAACCTGTAACTGGTACTTACCGATATTATCATTCTCCAACTCACACGGTTCACATGTATCCACCTGAAATGGCTCCAACACCTACTTCTACATCCGCTCCAGTTCAGAAAGTCAAGCCGCAGGTGCATGCTGACATAGACAAGGAGCAAACCAAGTTAAAGAGATCTTACTCTTCACCAGACTTAACCCAGGCTATAAAGGATGAGGAAAAGAGGAAGCAAACTCCTATAATTAACCGTGAAAATAAGTAAGTATTTCAGTATTTATAGTGTGTGTGTGTGTGTGTGTGTATATATATGTGTATATATATATATATATATATATATATATATATATATGTGTGTGTGTGTATGTATGTGTGTGTGTATATATATATATATATATATATATATATATATATATATATATATATATATATATATTATAATGCACACACTGCATGTAGATACTGAATGGCTTCTGAAGATTTTTACAAATGTGAATGTTTGTTTTTTCTTGTAGACCAGCAACTCACACTAAAACTGAAATCACAAAACTGTCAGCATCTAAGATCCGCAGCCTGAATCCAGTGTTTGGAGGCGCTGGTCCAGCTCTCACTGGTCTGCGGAATCTCGGCAATACTTGTTATATGAATTCCATCTTACAATGTTTGTGCAACACTCCACACTTAGCGGAGTACTTCCACAAGAACTATTACCAGGCAGACATAAACAGGTAATCTATAAAACATATGTGTAAAAAAAAAAAAAAAAAAGTAAGTGCATGATGAAAACATTTAGTATATTTTTATTTTTGAATCCTAAATTTCAGTAATTTATGTAGTGGTTGTTTAACCATTTTAATAGTGCGCCAGCTTAGTTCTCTTGTTCTGGGAAGGCGTCTATAAATGTCATACCAGAACATGCCTCTCGCAACCCCCCCCCTCAGGGCACGCATCAGGCTCGCTCTGTGACCGCTGTGTCTTTTGAGCACAGCTGATCACAGATCATGGTAAAGGGCCAATCACAGCAGGCCTTTACAATGTGATCAGCTGTATCTGTGTGAGAAAGAGACAGCCAATAGTTGGCAAGGCTGTCAGCACTTTGCACTGATCAGCAGTGCTCTGATAGTCCATGCAGCTTCTCAATGCCTATTAGTACAGGTTTTTTTAGTTTACAGCGCACCGAAATCTAATGCTATTTTAATTTTTTTTTTGCTGTATAATTCATCCAATTAAAAAAAAATAAATGCTGGAAGCATGGATACATAACTTTGTATATACTAAATTATGTATTTAATGCACTCTAAAAAAAACAGCTTAGTCAGAATACAGTAGCCGGCAGAGCAGATTCCTCCATCCATGTTGCTTAGCATGGAGGGGGGAATTCATAGATTTTTGTCATTCAGCCAGTGTGGAATTAGAGAAATCTAAAATTGTGCAGCCAGCCTTATAGATGTAATTTCAAACAACATCACCTTGTGTCTGGATAGAAAGTAGCAGGAGATACTTAAATGGCGCCAGTGCTCCCAGATGCCAGAGTGCAGCTATTGATCACTGTCAGTGTAATTATTAAGATGCGTAGACTCCACATGCATCAGTTCTCGCTTGAAATAATTTTTTACTGTATTGGGTCTGCAAAGTAATTTACGCAAGAAATGTTCTTTTACAGATCAAACCTTCTGGGCCATAAAGGGGAAGTGGCAGAAGAATTTGGAATTATAATGAAAGCTCTGTGGACTGGTCAATACAAGTATATAAGCCCTAGAGATTTTAAAGTGACAATTGGGAAGATCAATGATCAATTTGCTGGATACAGCCAGCAAGACTCACAGGAGCTGCTTCTCTTCTTAATGGATGGACTCCATGAGGATCTCAATAAGGTACAGCTCTGTGTATTTAAAGTATGTGTCCCACTGCTATTAATAAATTAAATTTGAAAATAGTATTAGAATTTAAAATTTTAGTTGTCGGAAATGATTTTTCAAATGTAACAAGTTTTTTATTTTTTACTTTATTTCTTATGCCCTTCTGCTCCTGTGACTCTCATCAACATTGCATTTCAACAGTGCTTATGCCTTGACCCAATTGTCAGGGTTTTTTTTACTACCTCCTGGCTTGGGTCATTTATGTCAAATTCCCCCTGACATGCACATTGCCATAATCCACTAATTGTGTGTAAATTATTCTCCGGACAATTACAGAGGTTGAACAAAATTATGGAAACACCAGGACCACCTTTTGGAATCCAAGATGGTCTGAATTCTCCTGGGAATTTGATAAAAATAAGTCTGGGATTGGTGATAATGGAATCTGATAACAATTTTCATGCAAAAATCGTTCCAGCGCTTGCAGAGATGCCAGAGGTAGAAAAAGAGCCCAAACCTTGTTCCCCAAAATTGACCATAGTGGCTCTATGATATTAAAGTCCAGCGACTGCGGCACCTAGGGAAGGTGCAAGACTTTGTCTGCACGGTTGTCAAACCACGATTTAACAACACCAGCTGTGTGAATTGGAGCGTTATTGTCTTGGTGAATGGTGCTGTCTTAGGGAAAAAAAATGTCTGCACCATGGGGTGCCCATGGTTGGGCAAAATTTGTACATAGTTGCTGGTGATGATGGAACCTGCAGAATACCAAGATATGGCTGCCCAAACCATGATTGTTCCTCCACCATGCTTTACTGTTGGCACAAGACAGTCCTAGTCATAAGCTTTGGATGGTGTTCACCACACAAAATACGTCCGGTGGATGGGAACAGTGTGAAGCTCAATTCATCAGACCATAATACAGTCTTCCATTGACCGACAGTCCACAACTTATGGGTGTTGCACCACTCTATCACTAGTGGTTTGACATTTGCAGCTCACCTGTGAATGTTTTGCTAATGGAGTTCCCTCCACAGTTTTTGTGGACATGGGCTTTGAAATACTTAGATTGAGCACTGCAGTCACTTTTGAAGCAGTTATTTTCTTATTGCGGGTCACAATCCTGCACAATGCTACAAATTATGTAGTGTTTCCATATTTTTGTCCAATCCCTATATTTATTTCATTGGCTACATGACAGTTTGGATCTATTTCATATGAAATCTATTAGTTGATACAATTATAATCTGTTTTCTAAAACCACTCTAAGGCCTCATTTACATGGGCAGTGAGACCCGTTCACTATGCATTGGACGTTTGTTTATGTGGCTGGAGCCATCTTGTGCTGCTATGGGGACGCAGTGGCTGCAGGGACATAGACGTGTAGGTGGGCACACTCACCTGCACAACTGTCAAATTAGGACAAGTGTCTGTGTCTCTGCAGCGATTGCATCCTCATAGATTTGCACAAGCAGCATGCAGGAAGCACCTGGCAGCTCCAATTGCATAAACAAATGATTGTGTATGGGCCTCAGCACCCATGTGAATGACACCTTAGAAGCAGAGTACATCCTTGGGGTACATTTTACCACTGGTTGGGAACCTGAGCTCTACAACACATGTGCATGCTTACAACTAAGTGAATTAACGGGCCTAAAAATCTGATATCAAGCATCGCAAGTCCTCATCTGGTCATTCAATTGGGTTTTTTTCCCCTGAAATTTACTTTGAAAGTTGTAAAAATATGAACTGTGCCAACTAGATGGGGGGGGGAACCAGTAGCTGTGCTGATTTCCAAAAATGTGCGTAACCAGTCATATGCCAGCTATGGTTTTCCTTGTGTGGGTTCTAAAATGAGAGCCGACTTGGCTGCCTCCTCCTCGCCTCCCACCGCATGATGTCCAGTAATTGTTTTTATGGTAAGTGACAATATGTAAGTTACCTATACAGCACAACTTAAATTTTTGTTTCTACTTTCCATTTTTTATGTGTCCTTTGATGACCCCTTTAGAGAGTAAGTAAGCAAAGTCATTGGTGTATGTCCAAAAACCCATTTGTCTTGTTTTTACAGTATAGGTGTGATTTTATGTTGTGTGACTAGAATGAGTGCAGCTGTGTTGTTGACATAGATGGGTATGTGTATAACATTTGTGTGTAGTTTGCTGTGCTTTATAGACTATCCTCTCCATTCTGTTACCATTAATTAGTGTGTATGTTTGTCTTGGTTATACATTGGTTCTGTTTTGCATACTGACCTAACTCCTTAAATCAAGCCTTCACTCGCAAACAATTAGTCATTATTCAAGCTCTCTTCCCTCCCTTTTACATGTTTAAAAGTTTTTTGGTTGTGTTTTTTTTGGGGGGTTAGCAAGTACTTGTCCCAGCCAAGATGAAAATGATGTTTCACTCAGTCTACTTTTCTTCCCACCCACAGCCTCCTGCTGCACACGTCACAGATCCAGGGGGCCTCCTCCTTGTTGGTAGATCACATCCATTTGCAGTATTGGGGGGGGGGGGGGGGGGTGGATGAGTTGGCTGAGAGTGATCAGGAAGTCACAGCCGGCTCCCAAATCCAAGATGGTGGTGTCACAGAAACATAAAGATGGGTGAAGACTTCGGGTTCTAGGACAGCGGTGGACTACTTGGGCCAGTAATGCGTGTTTTGTCAGTTTGTTTTTATTTGGGGGGGGGGGGGGGGTTAAGCAAGTACTTGTCTCAGCCTAGATGAAAATGATGTTTCGCTCAGTCCACCCCTCTTCCCACCTACAGACTCTTGCCACACATGCCACAAATCCAGGAGACCTCAGGGAGAGGCTCCCCCTTGTTGGCAGATCACACCCATATGCAGTGTTGGGGGGGGGGGGGGGGGGGGAGTTGGCTGAGAGTGGTCAGGAAGTCACAGCCAGCTCCCTCCCAAATCCAAGGTGGTGGTGTCACAGAAACAAGAACACGGGTGAAAACTCGTTCTAGGAAGACAGCGGTGGATTAAATGACTAAATGGGCTGGTGATGCTTTTTTTTTTTTTCTTTTTTTTTTTTTGTTTTGTTAAGTTAGCAGCTCCAGTACTAGTAACTGCTGACCTTTAATTTTTGGCTACCCAGGTGGAGTTCCCCTTTTAAGCTAACAAAAAAAAAATGGGGGCTACTGGGATCATCATTGCTTATAGGTTTAAATGCCTGACGTAACTGTAGCAGGCACTGGATTATCTTTTGTTCTGTCAGAATCCTCCTCTGTGTCATTTCAATAAATTATTTTTACTTTGTCACTAGGAGATTGACTTCAGGGTTAACTCAACCCTCTGTCACCCCCCTCTAGAAAGAGGGAACCTCAGGGGTCAGTAGTGGAGCTGAACCTGGCTGGCCTTCGCACTGGGTTCAGGCCACTGTTAAAGTGACACTAGTTTAAGGGAGGTGTTCAGAGAAGGGTTTCTCATGTAAAAGAGCCCTTAGGGCACGATAAAGAATTTTACAGTACACCATGATGGCTCCCACTACACCTAACCCAGGATCATTGTGTGTGAACGTGTCAGTAGATCGCAGTGGTGGTTGGAAGTTGTAGTTTTGCTTTTCTTAAGGATGCCATACATGGCTCAGATTTCAGAGAGATTCATGATGAATCAGCCAAAATAAAAGCTGTGGGTTCCTCTGTAAGTCTGTTAGTGTATGGCCAACCTTCGACTGTAGTAATAAATTTAAGTTGAATTTTTCATGACAGTATAAAGAAGGGGCTCCATTTTTTTTTTTTTCTAATTTTGGTTTCTCGCTTCTGATAAGAGTGCACGTATATAGTAGTAGCAGACTGCACGTTCGCACTAGGTTTTGTATGGCAGAAGTGTAATATAGGATGGCATTATAATCGGGAGCGTACCTTAGTGTTACTAAACCCAGGACCCTGCATTCACTATATCTGGTCTCCCACAGAACAGAACACGTGGAAGTGCAATTAATAGTAAATATAAACTGCTAAATACCTTTTCCCAACAGCAGTTAGAGCGGTCTTGTGACTTCTGTCAGTGTTCATCTGAGCACTGGTTAAAGCTTGTAGGAGGAGTTTTCTTTCTACTCTAGGAGGATGCAGAACCTCTTACCTCTGTCTGGACAGTGCTGATTGGCCCTGTGCTGATCACATGCATTCTCCCAAGAAAAAAATCCTCTCTATCAATACACACGAAACTGAGCATGTGCAGAGTGTCTCCACATGGTATGTCTTATCTGGAGATAAGAGGGGGGCACTGGAAGAAGGGGAGGATCAGAGTCGGGATCAAACAGATTTTTTACACAATGTAGAAGATTAACCCCTTAGTTTCCACAGTGAGTATATCAATCATACTTTACTGCATATAGAGTCTGATTTTGCTGTTGTAGGTTTAGTAACACTTTAAAGGACTGGCATTGCAAGAGAACCCAAAATATCTGCCTCTTTGGGTGCCCAGCTTACATTTGTCACAGGTCTCCACTAAAGTATAACTAAAGGCAAAACTTTTTTTTTTTTCTTTTTTTTTTTTTGTTCTTTTTTTCTTTTTTTTTTAGTTCCTGGATAGATTGGAGAGGGATTACAACCCCTGTTGAGTTTTTATTGCTGTCAGTGCCCCTATTAGTGGATAAATAAAGAGGGTGATTCTCCTTGAGAGTGAAAGTGAAAGCAAATGTCACCATAACAGGAAGAGAGGGGAAGTCTTCCAATGGGGACGCTAGTTCTGGCAACAGCCAGGGATTCCTTCACTTCAAAGGATTTTTCTCTCTTTTGTGGCCATTGGACTGGAAAATTAAGGAAAAGCTCTCCAATGGGGTGCAGATAGTGAAAAACAGAGGTTATAGTTTTGTCTTTTTGTTCTACTTCAAAGGCCATCTGGATTACTGTTGGTGCTGTCCGTTATAACAGAACATCCACATGATGGTAAACTGTAGGTTGTCACATAGTTCTTGTTGTGCCGTCAATAAGTAATCCTAGCTGACATTTACTTGAAGCACATAATGCAGTTTGTGGAATTAAATCTAAATATTATTTGTTGAATAACGCACGTCTTAATTGCAGGCAGATAACCGGAAGAGACACAAAAGAAGAAAACAACGACCATTTAAGTGATCCTCAGGCTGCGGATTCAGCTTGGATCAAACACAAGCAACTTAACGAATCCATCATTGTAGCACTTTTCCAGGGTCAGTTCAAGTCAACTGTCCAATGTCTAACCTGCCACAAAAAATCCAGAACCTTTGAAGCGTTTATGTACCTGTCACTGCCACTTCCGTCCTCCAGCAAATGTTCCCTTCAGGTACGCATCAAATCATTCTTTTTTTTTTTTTTTTTTTTGTGTGTGTTTAGTGTCCTAATGTACTGTCAGCTGTTTCCATATTTAGATCGCTCCTACTGTTTGTATATTGAGGATCTTTCTCTTTTGTTTGTAAACTATCTGTGTTATACTTTGAGCTTTCACCTAACCTGAAAACCATAGTCTTTTTGCATTCCAAAGTTAGTATGCTAAGGTAGGTGAGGTTATGGCTGTCGAGTTTAGGTTCTATTAAGGGCTTGTTCATATGTGCGCCTGTTTTAGACTCCGTTTACACGTGTGAATGAGGGATGGTAAAGACAAGTGGTTGAGCCATGCTTTTACAAACCTCTGACTGCCAGGACCTAATGACCCTTTTAAACTTTATTTTCAGACACCCCAAGCACAATCAGGAGTAGCCTCTAATTCATGTGGGGTTTTTTTTTTTTTTTTTTTTAGGACTGCCTTAAGTCATTTTCTAAGGAAGAGAAGCTCACAGATAATAATAGATTCTACTGTAGCAATTGCAAAACTAGAAGAGATTCCACAAAGAAAATTGAAATATGGAAACTCCCTCCTGTTCTCCTAGTGCACTTAAAGAGGTAATGTTCTCATCTTTACCTTTTATTTTTTTTTTTTTTTTGGAGGGGGGGGTACAAGAAATAGAACAATTATACACCTCTTCATTTGCACTTCTGTGTATGGTTCCAGATTTTCTTATGAGGGTCGGTGGAAGCAGAAACTTCAGACATGTGTGGATTTTCCCTTGGATCACCTTGATCTTTCACAATATGTCATAGGACCCAAGACATTTAAGAAGTACAGTTTGTTTGGAGTTTCTGTAAGTATTTTTGCTTAGCAAACTAATGGAGTGATGGCTACACTGCTTTGTTTTTCTATCATCAAGCTCTTTCCTATGACCTGAAAAATTAATATTGATGCTGATGGTTTTAACAATGATCTGTCTTTTTCTAACAAGATGTACAGAGCCTATAGCATCTACTGTGACAAAACTGCAGCATTTTTAATTGGTGGACATTGCCAGTAGGTTGAGTCGGGCCACATTTTAGCTCTTTGTGGGGTGGTAACACTACACACAATTAGTATTTCCAGTCTCACTGTCCCAGTAACAGCAAGTAACTAACTCATACTGATGTTGGGCTCATTTAGTTATGATCCAGTTGTCTCCAAACCCGGCTGCATGGAAAACTTTGCAGCTTTGACACAATACATAACACTTTAGGCACTAGTGGGAACAGATTTTTTTTTGCACCAGGAAATGTTAAAATAAGTGGAAGATGGATAAAGGATATAAAATGGGAGATTATGCACGTTTCAGAATTTAAAAAAGAATAAGGATTTGTTTGTTAGAATAGATGAATGGAAGTATAACCAGTTGTCTTATTTCGTTGCAAATTTACCACAACCATTTAGGGATGTAGGAGAAATGAACCCGTTTGAAAAACGAATGAATGCTGAATTAAGCCCAAAACACATCACCTCTAGGATATATAAAATCCTTGTGGACTTAGATGATGTCGAGCCCCCTGGATATTTAAGTAAATGGGAAAAGGAACTAGGAAAAAAAATCAACCCTTAGCAAAGGGAAGGTATTTTTAACCTAACACACAAGGTAGTAAACATTCGCACATTAGAGATGAACTACAAATGCTTGGCGAGATGGTATTTAACACCCAGTATAACCCATAAACAGCAAGGGGAAAGCTCCCTGAGGTGCTGGAGAGGATGTGGAGAAAAGGGCAATATGGAGCACATCTGGTGGAGTTGGCCGAGGATACAGGTTTATTGGAGGGAAATAGCATATTATATCAAGGAAATATGTGGGGTAGATATTCAAGGGGACCCACTGAAATGCTTATTCTACTATTCTGAGCCCATGGCGGAAGTAAATAGGAATAAAGTGTTGAATTGGTGGATTGAATAGATAGAGTGAAAGGCATTTTCAGAATGGAAGAACTGAGAAGTTTAGAGGAGGATAAGATGGGAATATTTAAAAGAATATGGAGAGGTTATAGAATGTATTTATTCATTTAGGGGAGAAAAGAAAAAAGTATATTTTGGAAGATGGAATGTTTTAATGTTGTTTATATAAGTATGAAATAAAAAGTAAATAAAAAAAAATAACACTTTAGGCACTGTGTAATATTTTTGTACAGGCAAAGCAAAGTGTAGAAAAAAAAGTTTTAAAAAAATCAGCACAAGGGATATGAATTCTAATCCAACGTATCCCTTGTGCTGGAGGCAGCTGTAATAGTTGAAATCCAAAGTCCCCTGCCCCCCTTACCATACCCCACAGCTGTAATTTTCCGGTACCATCGCTGGACCTGTGACAGGTGCTCATAGCATCGAGCGTGCCAGCTATGTTCCCCCCTCTTCCATTCATCAAAGCTGTACTATAGCTTCCATGAATTGAAAGTACTCTATAAATGGACGACAGACAGATGAATGAAAGGTGCTTGTCTTTCCATCATTTATTACCTTTCATTCATAGAGGCTGTACTATAGCTTCCATGAATGAGAGGTGAGTGTGGAAGTGTGGGGAGGCTTGGCACTGTTGATGGGTAGCTGTCACAGGTCCAGCTCTAGTATTAACCCCTACAGCACCAGAAGGTTACAGTTGTAGGGTATGGGAGGGACAAGGGAACTTCGGATTTTCACATTTACAGTTGGAAGAAGCACAAGCGACACTTTAGATTAAATATAAGTATTGTCCCTTTTTTCTAAGCATAGGCTTCAAACAACATTTTGCAACCCAGCACCTAGCCTGTACTACCTTAGTAAAGTTGGCATGTCGTCCCTGACTTGAGAAATATTCATACTTGCAGTTCTGGAGGTGCCTCCTACCCTTTTGCTTTTATCATGGCATACCTTTGTATGAATAGTTGGCTGGGCAGTGTGAACAGGCAGTGTTCTGTGATAAATCGATTACACCATTATACAAATTATTTTGAATCTGAGTAATGCATTTAGGAAGTTTTTTTTTTTTTTTTTTTCTATTATTGATTTTGTTAACTGCATAGCTGTTTTGATGGCATATAATTATATTTCACACAGAATCACTATGGAGGGTTGGATGGAGGACACTACACAGCGTACTGTAAAAATGCATTGAAACAGAAGTGGTATAAATTCGATGACCACGAAGTATCGGACATCTCAGTGTCATCTGTAAAGACCTCTGCTGCATATATTCTATTCTACACATCATTGGATCTTCGAGTCTCAGAGTTGACTTCTTAGAGGACAGTCTGCAAATATATTCCTTGCTTGGGTGGCTAATCATTGCTAATGGCCAGAGAGAGGAAAGAAGACTTTTTGTTCCTTTTCCTGGTCCAAAAGTGAGAATTCCAATGCAGAAATAGTGATTATAAGAGGGAATCAGCATTATAACTCACTCGTGCAAATTATCCTATAGTCTCATCAGTTTAAGAAATAGATAGATTTGCCTTGAAAATGTCCTCAATTAACCCTGAATATGTCATCTCTATTTGTAGTGGCCTTCTCTTCCCTATTGTGTACGCTTCTCTACTATGACATAGAAATGGTCTCAGCATATTTGGAATGTATATGAAGCAAGGACTGCCTACTTGCACATCATTGCTGTGTATATAACCAATTTCCTTTTGTCAGATAATCTATTTATATAAAATATGTTACTCTACAGCACTCTGACATGTTGTCTATTATCCCAGAATGCCTGGTCTTATGAAGATGTGTAGAAATATAGAATGAAATTAAATCAGAGTACTTGTCTGAATTGACAAATCTGAATTATAATATTCTAAGACGTACCTGTCATTTTCACAGTGTGAGCTGCTAGATTGTACTGTCTAAATCAGACCTTTATAGAAAGCTCCCCGGATGTGACTGTTTGGGAGATGTACTCAGCTATGAAAGACACCTCTGCCCAAAGCTGGTGGAGGAAGGAGAGCCAGCTGGCAAGGCAGATGAAGCCAGCGCTAGATTTTCTACAGAGCCTTTCCCAGCTTCCCAGTGAATCTGTTTTTGGGTTATCGATTCAGCATCTATTTGTGGCTCAGCACTACGTTCTAAATAATACAAAAAGGCCCTTGCAAACACCAGCGCCAAGGACTGCTGCACCCAGGGGCAGACTGACCATTTGGAAACTCGGGCACTGCCCGGGGTCAGTAGGGGATCCCATGAGATGCCCCTGGTACCTTTTTTTATAGGCTTTTTTGAGTTTGGGCAAGGACACAGGGGCCCCAAGATCCCCTATTGCCCGGGGGCTCCATGAGTTGTCAGTCCGGCCCTGGCTGATCCCCTGAAAAGTTTGCCTTTGTCGGATTGCTTTTCAGAGGCATGTGACAGGTATTGAGAAGGTGATATGTCATCTCACCGCCTGTTTAATTCCCTAAATGCAGCACTGCCACACCTCACTGACATGCATTGCATGTGGTTGTTGGACAGTTGCAGCGTGGCTCTATTCACGTGAATACATCGTGTTTGGCAGGCAGTAGTGCCAGGGGGATTAATTCCTGCCGTTACCCCAGCCTGGGCAAAACCCCAGCCTAATGGGGAATAGTTGGGGGGGGGGGGGTCTTAAAAACGCAACTCATCTATGTGTTATACTGAACCTTTAGGCACTCCATTAGCAGGAATATAACAGGCACTGTCTCCTTGTTAACACATCTTCAGCTTTCTGACGAATATTGGTTCAGCCCACAAAACTGCTGGAAAGCTTAGCGTACAAGTAGACTATAGGCGACCCTATGAACAGTGTCACATCTGTATTCTCATCTACCTATTAAAGATGGCTCAGTTGTAACTGTGTTAAAGTGGAACTAAACTCCTCAATGAATACTTTTGCTTTAACGATCCATCATCCACTTGTCGGCACTGGCAGCTTCTCCTGGACTTCATCTGGGTGTCGGCCTTCGGCCATCTTGATGGATCAGTTCCGGATGACGTCACTCCCATGCTTGCAAAGGAACGCAGTAGTTTTGGCACACATGTATGGTATAAGCTGAGCTGTGCATGCGCAGGTCAGTGTACATTCCACAGAAGACTCCCAACAGGCAGGTAGATTTATCATATTGCATGTTTATATGTAGCTATTGTGCTTCAAATTATAGAATGAATATAGGCAGGAAAAAAAACACAGCGAAAAAAAATATCCTGCCTACAGTGGCTCTTTTTAGAGTAACAGGTGGCTTGCATTAGTCCTTTTCCTCCTCCTTTATACTCAGTATGGTCCTATAGATCATTTAATTGTGGTGAACTCTACATGCACTCTAGTGAGTAATAAATATAGAAGTTATGTTTTAGAACAACAGACTTTATTTGAATTGCATAAACTAGAGCAAGTCTGGAACAGCTGCCCATAACAATATTCTTTGCTTAAAACATATTTCCACTTTTGCAGTCAAATCTGAGAAAACTCCACCATTATGTTTGTGTTCAAATTCACATAGCACTCCTGAATTTTATTCATTTATTTTTACATTTAGCTGTTTCTTGGGAGAAGGTGTCATGGCTGACTGCAAGCATTTTCCAACAAGTTCTCATTGACAAACAATAGAGAAGCCCAGCTTCTAAACATTTAACCCTTTGTTAGGGCAATGTTCAAATCTAGTTTACAACTGATTCTCCAGCACAGTATAGACAGGGTTGATTATGGCTCACACAGCTCCCCAACCCTCTCATAGTCGGAGAACTAAGATTTGTCAGTGCTGTCGTTTCCAGAAAAAAAAAATCCCAGAAAAGGTGAGCTGCTGTTTTTAGAGTAACTCCACTTTTTGTTGAGAAAAGTTACATTCCCCTCTGGGTGATCTATGTAAATTGCAGGGATTTTAATTTTGTTGCAGATTCTTACCTTTTGTTGTTCTGAAGAAATAGCTGGCTGTTTGTGTCCATGAATGAGTGAATCTGTATAGGAGTGGTTTCATAATTCTCAATCAGCTGCTGCACCTGCAGGGATCGAATGAGAAAAATTGCAGGGTCTGCATCCCTTTTAGATGTGATTTCCCTTTGGAAGTATTGCTGTAACTAGAATATTTTGTTTTTTTTATCATTTAAATATTTATAAATTTGTCAGATAAACAAGTTCTACAAACATACTCATTAAAACCTTAGCATGTTATCAAAACATTTATTGTTTCATCCCTTTCCCCCTGCTACGTTGACTTCCCCACATCCAATCCCTGACCCCTTCTGCTCTGCATTTTCCCATTCATTTCTGGAGATCATAATCCCTATAAAAGAACAAAATCTGTTTCCATATTATTCTATGTTAATCCCCCATAGCCTCTAAGGCTAGCCTTGACTTTTTGAATTCCTCCAATTTGTTCCATCTTGTATGGTGACTCTCCATCTTATCTTCATTCAAATGATAAAGTTCCTCCAATTTACATATTTGATCCAGCCTATCCACCCAGTCCTTTATTTTTGGCACCTCCTGTCTCCTCCAATACTTGGATATCAGTCCCTTTGCTGCTAGAATATTTTGATGCAGGGGATGCCCAAAATGTGACTTTTGGGGAAATTGATGAGCCCAGCATGCAAGCAGAAAATGGCATTTCTGTCACCATCTGTGTACAGAACACTGCCAAGCAGCCATATTGCATTGCATTTTACAGAAAATGACAGCCCCTCTGGTTGAAAAGGACAGAATTTGTCATAATATTTATCTACAATATGACTTGTGTCTTAATTGTATACACTTTTTTTTTTTTTGCACGAAAGTGGAGTTACCCTTTGTAATGTTATGCTATGTGGACGGGAACATGTAACAAATATAGGTGTTTTCTCAATATGTCTGCAAAAGTGGAAACATGTTTTATATTTCAGTTTAAACTCTGATTGCTGTGGGTAACGGCATCACTTTTGCATCTATTTCCTATTGCCTGTTTTTGTACACTAAACCTGTATTCTGCAGATGCTCTAATCTATGAGTTTAACACTGAAAGTTTACAGGTAGAACTACACAGCTATTTCAGCCCTTCGTATTCGTGAGACACCTAGAACCATCTAAAACCGCTAACAACCTCGTGTGTCTACCAAACACTACAAAGAGAAGAAATGACTGGCTTGTTGTCCATATTTTTACTAGAAAAAGAGGTGAGTTTGGGAGGAGCAATATACTATAGATACTTGAAGGTGCATCGGTGCCCAGGCCATATTCTTAAGAAGCAGAAAAGGGGCTTTCAAACAAGCCATCACTGATATCTCTAGCTGCTTGTGCTGTGACGCAATTTATTCTCAATAATTGGACTCGTTCTCATGTGCAGTAGCTTTTGCCGACCCTCTTTAAAAGCGATCCGCAGTGAGTCTATTTTCAGAAGGTGTTTGACAAGCAGGGTTTAAAATCCTACAGATTGAACCACCGCAGACGCAGGGCGGTAGTGGCGCGGCCCTATTCACTTTAATGGGCCACTTTCAGGGGCAGTGATGTCTGTTGGTGGACAGTAAAACCACATCTCAACCTCTTTCTTTTACCAACCCCTGGCTGCCCATGTGAAGGAGCCCTAAAACCAGGTTCAGTTAGTTTCTAACAGCTTAAAAGCACACTGTCTTTGCCAACGTATTCTTAACAGTGCCCCGAGCACGGATCACAAACGCAGTACATCTGTGGCCACCCAATCACATGGTACTTCAGTACTATGTGATCTGGTGCAGCGCATTTTTTTTTAAAGTAGTGCATACACTTCGTTTTCTGTGTTCCACTGGGATTTGCAGGCAATTCCTACGAGAGGGCTGAAAAATCATACCAAGCAGGAATCGCACAGGAACGTGCACTGTGGTCCCATGCGATCCCGGTGTGATCCAACCCTTTAAACTGCTTTCACTACTTTATCAGGATATGTAAATACTGTACCTGTGCCCAGACTATGCAAATTAAAGGGTTAGCTCACCTTTCTGTACATATTTTATCACCTTCACCACTTTGCAGACAATTGTTCAGATTTTAAAAATCTGCCCTTTTCCTATTACATGGCTCTATGTCCTACATGGCCTGTCTGCAGACCCCCCCCCCCCCCTTCCTCCCCATGGTTAAACTGCTGGGCAGATCATATGATAGCTATGTAGAAGTGGAAAAACCAGTTACTCCTGCGCTTGGGGATGGACTCAATGTCATTAGGACCACATAACGAAATTCTTGGTATATACATGCCATACTGCCTTCAAAGGATCGGGGGAGTCCTAAAGTACTGAATAGAGAAAAACAAACAGAGGGGGCACAGGCCTAGTGCACTACCTTAAAAATATGTTTCATGGATGTA